CTTTCACAAATTCTCTGTAACTGAAAGTGTAATTAGAAATCAGTGTTCCACGGCCATTTGAAGCTTTTGTCTCAGATGATCAAAAGGAACCAATCGGTGAAAAGATGCCACACAATTTAATTCCTTTGATCAGGGGGTTTGATAATTTGAAATCGATGGGCTTTTTGGCTTGTACATGTTTCTGTTTGATGAGATTCGGGGGATATGTGACTGAATGATGAACCTATTTTTAAGAATCGAATATTCTTAGCATTGGCTGTAGATTCCTATTATATCGTTTCATCAACAGTATTGTTAAGGTTTCTGTTGCTCAAATGACACTGGATCGAAGTCCAGAAAGTCTTTTAACTTGGAGTTTGCAGAGCCATATAAAATATATATATATGTTTTATATGTCCCTGGAGTTCGGCAAAGATCTTTTCCCTTATATTAGCTTTAGCCTCTTATAGTATGTATATGTATGTGTATGTAGACTTCAAATGATAAACTCTGAAATAATGCGCGGCAAATCGGAAATGAGTCCATGCAGTATTTTTCAGTATTCCCCGCCTCTAGAATCTAATATACAGTCCACTTGTGAACTCATTTGATTGATGGATCACTACTAGACTATTCCACATCAATCAATTAACAAATGTACCATATCTTTAATAATGTTTGATATATAATCACACAAATAGGATATCATTTTACCTATCATTGCCATCATTAAAACACAATCCCATCAACATTTGGCCTGTGTATCACGCTTTTATTAGGTTCGTATCGTGTCCTCTTTTTTTAATTGAATCATGGGATTGAACCTCCTCTGCACCTGGGCTGGAGTACAGATATATAGAATATCATCAAAAATTGCTTAATTGTTTACATAGATCCATCACAAATGATCTAATATTCTATACTGGGATTCTATATTTATTTACTTTGTGTATTATTTAGTTATGTATTTAGAGTTTGGTTGGTGTTGAGTCAATTTACAAGCGTGTCATAGTGATAGGATCTTCAAATGCGTTATAATAACCATGATCTATCAACATATCAATTTGAAAAGCAAATATTTTAAAATGACAAGATAAATCACATCAAATTATAAATCATAATTCATAAATTACATAATATAATGTAAGTCAATCTCAATCTTTAAATGTTACATAATAGGCCAATTTCTTAAAAATAGGCCCAAAATTAATGCCCAGTAAGGCCAGTTTGTTACCAACATTTCTCAGTTTATATAAAAAGCGGATTTTAGGCACAGGGTTTTAGGCACTAACATTTGTGTGGGCCTAACTTTTTTGGGGTCCACCAATGTGGGATGGGGGCATATGTGTTTACCCCATCCTTTAGAATGGACAAGGGTGAGGTACACATCTTTCTGTCTCATGATGGGTAAAGACTATAGAGGGGCTCTGATAAAAATCAGAATGGGTGCAAGTGAAATGAACAATATATATTGGAAACCATGGTAATTTTAATCAGAATCACCCATATCACTGAAATTGTAATCATCATTTGCATTTGATCAAATTGTTCCCAAAACCAAGGATGAAGAGCCGAAGCCAATATTCGTCATTGCGATCCGCAAGATCAAAGCGCAACGATTGCAATCAGACCATTATCTCATTGTTCGATCTTGAAATTGATTCCAGAATGGATTATATATCTGGAATATTTTTGAAGATGATCCATTAAAGATTAATTTTAATTGCCTTTAATATTCTAACAATGAATCTGGCTTCACACTCGGTGAATACACTTTGATGCTTGATTACAGATGAATTCTCTCATGTTCGAAATATCGTCTGCCAAATTTTTTTACTTTTTCCAATTTCATTATAAAAATTGAATAAAGTTTTTATTTACTTTTTATTTTTTGTTAAATTGGAGTATGAAGTAAATGCCTTTTTATTATATTTTCCATTTGTATCTTTCATTTTTTGTCTATTTTTCATTTCAATACATGAATATTTTCTTCAGGGATTGATTCAACTATTGTAGGGTAGATGGGCGTTGAGATCTACTTAATTAATGAATAAAAAGAATTTAAGCGTTTCCCTATTATTATTGTTTAATTGGATTAGTGCATGCTATTGATATCCTGCCTCAAATTTCCCCGGTATTATAACCATATAATCCCAATTTCCCGGGATATAATTTAAAAACAAATCACTGGAGAAATAATGAGGGGGGGTATTGTATAAGGACTTATTGAGACTGCACTAAACGTTACTAAAAAAGTGTGCGCATGCCATATAGTTTTATCTAACACTCTTGTAAACCCACTCCCCCTACAATTGTGTACATCTTTAGGTCAAAATAACCCTTACTTAATTGGTTTTGTCTCGTGGGTTGTTTGTAACTCCCCCACACCCCCAACACTGCATACCTTCCTGCCCGACCGTGCTGAGCCGGCGAGAAATCGCTGCCCCCCCCCCCTCCCGGGGCTGGGGGTAACCTATTTCAATGGCGGCAATTTAGAACTAACCCAGGGAGCTGTACTCAAATTTGAATGTGGCTACAATATTATTTGCATTCGACGAAAATGAACATCTTTGGGTGATAATAGCTATATACTATTTATTTACCCATGTCTCGTGTGGGTTGTTTGTGAAGCAGTTTGATTGAATGACGAACACACAATAACAACAGCCAAACAAACAAATGTGTAAACAATCAACTAGCGATATTGTGTGCATAATGTGTATTACACTTGGGTGGTTGCGGTTTGTAAATTTTCTCTCCATTGGGGAGGAATGAGAGAGAAATCCACTGTGACTCGTGCGAATAGCTTTGTTTCATGAACAGAAAATACACCAAAATCTACGTTCGTTTTTCTATTGAGGAATTGAGTTGAATTCCGTGAAATATGCATTTACTTGCAGGGCTTGGTATCACCTGTGCTTCCTCATAATGGGACCGTAAATCCAGTGAATAAAACATAATGATCCCATGCTTTTCCTTTGTAACTTATATCAATAAGGCGATAAACGAGCAAGAATTAGAATAGATGGGGTTGTAGTTCAGATAAAAAGTGTATAAAAATCATCAGTTTAAACCGCTTCGTTCAAACTTGGTGAAATAGATGCGAAATGAGCTTGAACCAAAAATGGTATTTTATCTCCTGGTTCCCCTCAAGTTTATATGACAAAGTTCCATCACAGTAAATGGAATTTTATCTCGGGTACTTCTCAAATACTTGAGGATCAGGCCATTGTTGAAAGGCGGTGATTTTATACTGAAGCACTAAATTATTTTATAGTTGATATGTATCGAACAGGAAGAAGATATGTTCCTCCTAAATCGTCATTAGTGCAGTAACTAAATTTCTACTTGGGTTCTGAACCTCGGAGCAACCTCTCACCGCCCCCCCCCCTCCTCCCCCTCCCAACTACATTCCTCTTTGATCAACCCCCTGCCTTGTAAGGTACCCTTTGCAAAGTTCGACGTCGCTCCATTAAAGGAGAGGTATACAGTATATGTAGTGTTAAAGGTAGCCTATTGGATTAAGTGTAATGTGAAGGATTTTGATTTTATCCCCACCCCCGGGCCACCTAGCAGTGAATTCATTGGGGGAGAGGGTGTAAAACAAGGGTTTGATACTGCTGTAAAACCAAGTTTACACTGACTTTTGAGATCTAAAAGCTGTTTAATTTCTTGTTAAATATCCCGATTAATAATTGCGAGAGAAAAAAACAGAACTACCTTTAATTGCATTCTAAAACCCGTATCACATTTCAGCTGTACAATGCCTCTGAATAATGATGTTTAGAATTCTGAAACCTACAGATGATTATTATAACTTTTAAAAGCTAATTGAAGTTTTCATGAAACTCAAGAAGGGACCTTTTGAAACAGAGAACGGTAATTTTCTACGCCTTTTCTCTTTAAGGCCTCAATAGACTCATTCAGTACACACTTAAATACGCATTTCAAGTTTTTTTAAAAGCTTGACAAAAAGATTCGATTTAATTCGTGAGAAACTAATCCAACTCGATGTGCGTCACTTCTCGGTTTTACGACATTTTTAACAATTTTTTCATAAAGAAGGTGAAGGTTTGGGTTAAAGGATAAATTGATGATCCGAGATTAATATGACCCTCGGGTGAAATCTCGTGGGTGAAATAGTGATCAACTTATCAAATCGAAAATCCCAGAAATGTGCCCATCCAAAGAAGGAATTTGTGTTTCGAAGACCACAAGTTTACTATACCAGTCCTGCATAAGCACTTAAAGTCTAAATCCCCCTCCCCCATCCTCCTTACATCGGATTAGAAGATACACCCCGCAATGAGTGTTAAAACATATTCATAGCATATTCACAAGATATAAATTCATATTAATGCGAAATCAATTATTTTTATCCCTAGGTGCTCTAATACACAGCTGAGCATAAATAAAGTGTAATAAAATAACACATAAGGAATATGCAACAACCTATTAGATCACACCTGATGAAATGCAGAGATCTTTGTACAAAGAATAAGGATCTGAACGTTTTTCTTTGATCCCGTCCCAACAGATCTTAATCCGTTAATTCATTCAAAAAGCCGAATTCCGAAATACTTCTACGTTACTTGATTTTTAATTGCAGTTATATAATTCCTAAATGGAGAATTAAGCCGATTATTAGAAGTGTTTTAATGTAGGGATTAAGATCCCTTTGATCCCGCTTTGATCATGTTAAATTCCAGGTAGAATTCTCGAATCTGTTGATTTTATGATACCTGTAATAAAGGAATAAGCTTTGAGTGATTTTTGGGTTCATTTTGTATGAAATAACGGTATTCAGATCGACACACAACGCACGCACTTGTGGCTGAAGCCAATAACTAAAGGCGGGGCTTACAGCGAGCCATTAGCCAATCAAATCGATCAATTTACGAGAACTGCTTATTAACATACACTGGCAATAATTCAAGGCGGGGCTTATGATTATTGGTTCTGGGTATATTTACTCGCTGTAGAAAGAAATACAATCATTATATCGTTGCAATCTTCTGCACAATACAAGTGTTTCAGACAATTCAAGCAAGAACATTACTATTTACAACCCCGCAAGTGAGATAATACGGAAAATTTTCAAAGTTTATTTGGGAAAGTTGATAACAGGTAAAACTTCACGAAACGTTACTTGGCTGAAAGCGACCTGAGGAACACCAAAAAGGAGTAGACATTCGTAGATTAAGCTGTCACTTATTGATAAAAACACTTGACACCTGTAACCGGGTGAAGATATTCAAACTGGATCTATCAAGCTATTCAGTACCGTTCAAGTCGGAGGGGATGTTGACATCGTCCCGAAGTCCATACGAGATGGCGAACCCAAGTTCAGCGAGTAGTTACGCGTCAATGACAAATATGACCAACATGAACACTATGTCGATGGGAATGGCGCCGGCAGGGAATATGAATCCGATGTCTTACAGCCCCCAGGGCATGAGTATGGGAGCGATGACGGGCATGAACGCTGCAATGATGGCCCCGGGTATGAACTCTATGAACATGGGAAGTATGTCGGCAATGCAGGGCATGGGCGCTATGGGTGCTGGCATGAATATGGCTCCAACACCCGGTATGAACGGAACCATGTCACCTATGAGGATGGATCTACAGCGCGCTCAAGCGATTAACAGAGCACGGGAAAAGACATACAGACGGAGCTACACACACGCCAAGCCGCCATATTCTTATATCTCCTTAATCACCATGGCTATCCAGCAATCTCCAAACAAGATGTGTACTCTCAGCGAAATTTACCAGTTTATCATGGATCTGTTCCCCTTTTACCGTCAAAACCAACAACGATGGCAGAACTCTATACGTCACAGTCTCTCCTTCAATGACTGTTTCGTTAAAGTACCCCGCACACCCGACCGACCGGGCAAAGGATCGTATTGGACTCTTCATCCAGATTCAGGAAACATGTTCGAAAACGGGTGCTATTTACGTCGCCAGAAACGCTTCAAATGTTTCAAAAAGGAGACTTTACGCAAAGGTGAAATCGGGGAAAATGGGGAGATAATCGGCGAACATGACGATCTTGATGAAGATGAAATCCCCGGGCAAACTCATACCGGTAGCCCACACTCCGAGCACCATCACAGCCCAACAGGACCCGCTCTTAACACCGAGCCCCAGATACCCAAACGCGAGCCTGGAACTCCCCCGACTAACACTCATCAGCCACAGCAACAACAAATCCCACAACAGCAACAACAACAGCAGCAACAGCAACAACAGAACCCCTCACATTCTCTCCCCCACCAGACAAACCACCCCTCCCATCCCACGTCAGAGTCTCAGCAGATGATGCGTAACCATAGTAACCAACAACAGGCTCAGCAACAGCAGCAAACGCTTCCGGGCCAACAACAACATATGCCCCCCGGGGTTGACGCAACCCAAAGCATGTTAATGGCGTCCCATCAGTACTCCCATGGTGGCTCAAACTACAATCCTTTCTCCATTGCGAACATTATGAGCTCCGAAAAGCAGCAAGATAATATGAAAATGTACGAAGCCGCCATGCAAGCGCAACAAGGGGGCTACACCTACAGCCAAATGTCCCCTGTTATACCCAAAGAATCGCAGCACATGGTCGCACCGAATGACAGTTATTATAAAAATTATTCTCCAAATGCGACCGCGGCTTTATAGGACCGGAAAAAAGACTTAAATAATGCTCTGTTTTATCATGACACAAACATTGAGAATGCACCACTCGATACTCAGGCAATTTAGGCGCATCATTTGAACTATTGGGACAAAAGTCTCGGACGATTTCAAATTAAGAAATTCACATTATAAAAACGCCATCATAACATTCCAAGAATTCATCAACCATTGCGCACAAATACCGTAAGATATTTTTCTTAATGATTTCTTAAATTATCATTAATTAAAGGTGCACAACTGGTAGTGTATGCATTAATTTATTTCATATATTTTGTATAAATAGAGGAGCTTAACTTGAACAAATGTATTTATTACAAAGTACAAATTATTAAAGAGGCTTTATTTTAATTTGCTATCGCATACAATACATTGGTATTTATCAGTTTTACAAAATGACCAAAGTTTTTATCTTCAGAAGTTGTTTTCTGAGTTATTTTGTCTATATTTGCTACGGCATGTGCCTAAAACATTATGTTTTAGATTATGTTTTGATATACAGTGTGAAATGTACGTTTGCTAAATAGTCTAGTTCCTAGAAAAAGTTATTTTACATTTCTTGTATAGTTTTTTGTACATATTAAAGGTTTTGATAATGAAAAAACATCGTGGAAATGTCAATTCGACATAGATATAGATCATATTAATTAACGGCAATATGGAGGTATCATTACAAATTATAAATAGTGCAAAGATTTGTGATTTTTGTATAACATTGTACATATCTCTCAATTCGAAATGGTATTAGAACAAAGTTCAAAATGGGCATGACGGGCTGGGTGCTTACGATTATACTGTATACGGCTCGACGTATACCTATATATACGGTCCGACGTATACCTTTATATACGGCCCGATGTGTTAACATATTGTAACGTTGTACATTGGATTAAGTGAATAATCACTTATATAAGATATTATAAATATAGCCAAGGCTAAGTTTTTTATATAAATATAATTATATTGTTTGTTATGCATTATTTTAGTGATAAAACAATTGTGCCTTTTCACACTTATTTTTGGCTTCCTTCCTTTAGTTGTCCATCCGAAGATAAAAGAAAATATTCCAAATCTTTTAAGTCGAAGCCATATATAAGAATTCACAAAGTACAAATGTTCAACTTTCACAAACCCAAATTTCCAAATATGTCAAACCAATTTGACAATATCGCCACCCCTTTTCCACACCTCAGATATCAGTTGATTCATTTTTCCTGAATTTATTTCGCTAACCTATCAAACAATACACAACAGTAAAAGTCCAAGATCTCCAGTAGACCCTTAAAGCCACCAGTAAAATTAAGAAAAGGCTGATGATGATTATAATGCACAGCTTAACTGTAAAATAATTAACGTTTATATTTTATGAACATGGAATTTATAAATTGACTACACGACTCGTGCTTCTTTCAGATACATGCTTAAACTCAGTCGACAACAATGAAGAACACCACCGTTATAAGTTTAAAATACTAGCTCATCGTCTGTTCGTTGGTCAGAAATGAAACTTTGTTAAAAATACCCCTAGCGCAGAGTTTAGTCAAAGAGGCGAAGTCAAGCGAATGCAACGTGTAAAAATACTATAAACTACACTATATACCATTTTATATGTTGCAATATCACATTCCAGTAATTTACATTTTAGTATTAAGAATCAGTTCACGACTCATTATATCTTGAAATTTTCTAAGACCAACAAGACTGTGATAAAGATTAATTTTATAATGACAATTAATGATAAAAGATATAAATTGACTCCCGAGAATTATTGTTTACTTAACTATTGACCAATCTGAAACCGAAATTTTAAAATGAACAATGTGATTATGTAGCCAGAACTGAAAAATAAAATACATTTGTGTTTGTCCATAGATATGAACAAGTGCAATTTTAAGTACAATTAAACTAAATTACGTATTAATATTTTTAGAAAGTAGGGTATTAATATAATGTGTATTCGCATATGTAACCAACGTACAATATTCGAACTTTGTGATATACATATACGATAAAAGTTCATTTCATATTGCATGGTACTTTATATGGTACACTCTCGTTCTACTCGTTGATTAAATATTGTTGGAGCAAAGTCCATCGTTGATAAGTATTGTCGTTGAGTTAAATATTAAAAGATTAATGTGAGTCACTTTATCAATCATAGTAAGCTCTATCCACTTTGGGAATCGACAATATTTCTAGATCTTGAAATTATGAAAATGGCAATTCAGAATAGTTATGAGCTCCCCCTACTTTGAAAAATCGCCAGTATCTCTTAGAATTACGGAAATAGACATAAAAACACGTTGAAATGTATCTAAAAAATAACAACATCGAATTATTAGATAAATTACAACATAATCTCCTGTCACTAAAATATTAGGCTATTTTCAAAAATATTAATCCAAAATGAGAATTTTGTTTCTAGTTGAATGCTTGTTGGATTGGTTTGATTTGTCACTCGATTTATCCTGAATGAATCCTAAAGGGTTTCTATTTCATATATCACAATATTTACGTGGTATATAACACTTGAAAAGACCCATAATATTATGAAGTTAAATTTGTTTTTCATAATTCTTATTTCTCCGAGTATCCTAATAGATTAAGCTGCTATGGTGTTAAGATAATCCATCTTGATAATCCGTTACAAATCTAGATCCTAATGTAACCTTTGTCACCCTAATACAAGTTAATGGTACAGACAGATGAAGTCCTGCACCGAGCCCCTAGTCCCCCCCCCTATCTACGTGCATGTGTGAGGAGCCTAGGGGAGGGGTCACAAGGGCTTGAACCCCGGTCTAAAAGAAATTATGGTCCCTGAGGATTGTGGTCCTCTTTCCTTACGGCCATTACTGACCCTGACTGTGTATAGACAATAAGGAAAATAATAGAAAATAATCAATAGAAAGTAGGACCAAAATTTGATAGGACCACCTACCCTTTTACACCGACAATCACAGATAAACAAAGATATGAGTTTACTTTCCCTTGGCTATTCTATATTTATAAATTAATATGGATTTCAGAGTTTATTAATTTAGATTTTAAAGCATTTCTTTATTATAAAAATCGCCCCGTTCTTCCTGTTGGAAAACGGGAGGGAAAGTGTGGGAATGGGGGGAGGGGGGGTGAGGATTATTTGCAAAATAAATTTTTGATGCAGGTCCTTAATTTCCAGAAATACACTCAAAATAAAAGTAGGAAATATTTCATATATATCAAGCATACAAGTAGAGTACACAGTAGTGCAAACCCATTACAATCACACAATTCAAGTGAATAGAAATAGCAATATTTTCCCGAGATTCCAAATTCCACTTTTGTGGTGAAAATATGTTGAACATTAATTTATACAGGTGTAGAAAATGTATAGTAACGTTGACCAGTCATTTTCTATTTGTTTTCTCTTTCTTTGTCAAATACAGAGCTCATTGTTCCACGGAACTAAGTCCTCTTGAAATGCCATTGTACGAACAGTGTGGTCTATAAAGGGGAACCTTGTATAACACCAACATAGTTTGGGACAAAAATGCCAAAACCAACATTTCCCTTTCGTTGAACTTTAGAGAAACGATCCCAATCAATGCGTCCCTGGAAGTAAGTTAAATCATCCAAAATGGGTACTTTATTCTTGCTATTTTTCTCTAAATCGTAAATTATCTTTCTAATTTGTATAATTATATACATTTCATTTTATACACCAGTTATTCTACAATTTCTTCTTTTCTATAATTTTCTCAAAGTAAGAAAAAATCACTACCCGGGATGTTAGTCCTAGGTAATCTAGAAGGGTAATGTTTGGAGTATTTGGGTATTTTTCAATCTCATAATAGTATAAAAGTTAGGTCTCAAATTACAGATGTTTTATCAATATTGTCATTGGAATTTATTATTGCACTCAGTCTAGCTATTATCCCATGATCGTCAAACTTTCTGTTTTATTTAATTTCTACCTTAAATTGGGAAGTGTTTCACAGGGTTAAGTGCAAGCCTTTCTGCTCTCCCCCTCCCACTGCACACCTCCCCTGTGTGAGGAGTTTTCATACCCGTGTTGTCAAATATAGGGGGGGGGGATAGAAGGGGGGGGGGGTTACAGAGTCTTGGAGCTAGACTATGTTTATTTTAGATCAAGTGTTGATTCATTCAAGTTCGTGAATCAGCAAAAAAACAAGTTATATAAAGTTATCCAAAAGTTTTTTGTATTTGTGCTTGCAACATTTTGTCCAACACAACAATTGCAATTACAAAACCGGCTAAAGACATGTCGACATGAACCTTTGGGTACCCTTTGCATTCGTTTGACTTCACTTCTTCAAAGAGAGCTTCGTAGTTTAACTAGACTCTGCGCGCAGGGTAACCTTTGGGTCAATTAGTGCCTCAATTTCAATACACAGAGGTCAGTTTATTTGTAGATAATGTTGAAATTATTGTCTATAAATAGTCTAATTGTAGGAAACTGAGAGGAATAGGATCGGACTCGGATGCAGGAATTTATTTGAATCAATTTATTTTAACGCGTATATGTCAAATCCTTTTCGTGTGGCTTCCCCTTTTGTACTCCGGTAATTTTCCTTATAATTTCGGCTTTCATTGCCTATTTGTGTGGGGCGGGGTAGCTCTGTGCAAGTCACCATAATATCTAATTTGCTATTATATTCATCTCGACCCATTACACACGTCTTGATAACAGATACTTAACTTTGGGTTAATGGCAGCATTTACATCATGTGCATTTCAAATGAACTCGGCACTTCGTTGGGCCACGGGACTGTATACGAGTGTGCGATCAGTTGAGTGCATTAAAGTACCATAAATCAGTCTGCGTAATTTTGATTGACAGTTGTCAGGCCCATAGCCAGCTTTATTGTTAGGGGGGGGGGGCACTTTTCAAAAGATTTCCGGGGGTTCACATTCGACAGCTTTGGCCCAAAGTCACTCGAAAAGTGCTCAGAATGGTGAAACCTGTATGAATTTTAAAGACTCCCCTCCCCCGGCTATTCCGGTATCAGTCGAAATATGACGCTCCAAAAATCGAAAATTTTGACCAGAGCTAGCCAGTAGTTATAGAAAGTATGGTTCCGGGACTGACTCTTGAATATAATAACTGAAGTGATTTATCATTCTTTGAATACTATATGCATTCCATATGGCATTAAACACTTTATCATAATTACAAAAGTAAAAAAAATCCTTCATTTTTAAAGACTAATAGCGTTTTTCAATCATTTAAATTATTTTACCAAAGTGGACACGGCAGCGATAAATTATCTACCAACTCCCAGTAACCTGTCTGTCAGACATACGTAAACTGAGAGGTATATTGCAGCTAAACGAAATCATTGACGCGCTCCAATGATTTCTGTTTCTTATCTCAAATTTAATTAATTGGGGATCTAAATTGTTTTCCG